TAAAGTCAAATGACTGACCTATGAGAGATGGCAACGAACTGGCAGGGGAGTCACATCACATGATCAAGGTAAAACCTGTATCCTGGGGCATCCGGTCACAGTCAGCCATTGTGAGGCAGAGTCAATTCTAAAAGACACAAGACAGTAGCTCAGGGCTTACATTCAAAGTTAAGGTTAGCAAAATGATAAAGCTGTTGCAGATGTACTAAACATGCAAATCTCTCCAACCTCTGGAGCAGAAAAAAACAACAAACAAACAAGTAAGCAAGTGTCTTTTCCTCAAATAGCCATGGGATGGTACAAAATAATACAAAACCGGTGCAAAAAATACAGTTTTATGAGTCACCTGCATGGTTATACGTGGTTCACGGTGTGACCATTTTAAACGATCACTTCATAATATGATATGTTAACACTACCACTTAAGCAATGAACCTTTCAGACTATTGTTAATACAATAATATGTGTGGCGTGAGCCCTATACCTCCTAGATGCAAGTTTAGGCATCAAAATATCAGTTTACGAACCAATGAGCGATGACACGGTGGATACATCCATTTGTTTTAAGTCTATGATCGACAGTAGAGTGACAAATTCAACTGGTAACATTGATAGACACTGAGAGAGGGTTAATAATTCAGCTTTCTCTAATGATGGATCAGAGTAGCACCCTTGTAGACTCCCAGCTGTGCGCTCATGAGGGGAGGACAGTGATGTAAGGTGACACAGTAAACTGTCAATATTTCTTCCCCACTCTTTCTTTCCCTGCCTCTCTCTGCATCCCGAAGAGGCAGGGATGATTCAAGCCAGACTAAGCAGACAATCTCAGAAATACATTCAGATTGCTCCAGTCGAATCAGTATGCATGATGAAGTCGAGCCTTCTCTGCCCTCCTCTCCTCTCTACCATCTCCCCCTCTCTCCTTATGTGCCACTGGACCCTGTTGAACGAATGGGGTGTGCTCAGCGGAATATGAGACCACACCAGTAGCAGGAGCTTAGTGTGTGTGTGTGTGTTCACTTTGAGTCCGTTTCTTTCTCTCTTTGCTTGCTGTGAAGGTGGTTTTGAAGTGATGACGCCAGTTAGACCGGCTTGTAGTCATGGCAATGTGCATACATGCAACGTACACACGTATGTTAAGTACACACACACACACAGAGGCATGGATTGTGTTGTATAAGAGCGCTTCAATGTGTTCCATTTTTCAACAATAGGTGGACAGGTAGAAGAGTGGATGAAGGGATGAATGGAAGGAAGAGCAACTCTTTTTTTTGTGTGAAGGTTGTCTGAAGCAATGACGCAGTGAGGTTGGCGTTTTGGTAACTGTGGCAACCAACATACTGTAGCGTGTGTGTGTGTGCGCGCATATATACTTTTGTCAGATACCCCGCATGAAAAATGAAAAACACAAACACACATCTGCACTGGGAGAGCAGTGACAACATTCACGTTTGCCCTAAGAAAAAAAAAAAAATCGGCCTCTCTTTGCTTTTATTCTTTGAGGTAAATATTTCTGTTTTTCTGCTACTTGCTTTGTCTCAGCGCTTGTTTGGCGAACTGTCTGATATATTTAACCCAAGCAGTCGCTGGGATCTCAGAAATCCTGAGGTCACGAGTCCTCTTCTCCTACTCATTCATTACTCATTACTCCAACATTAGTGAATTTTAAACGCTAAATACATCAGAAGTTTCTCATTACTTCCAGATTATTGTACAATTTCTGCTCCTTCCCTTTTTAATGTTTCTAACGTTGCAGAAAAAGACATGAATTTAAATATTGATGTTTGCGTAGTCTGCAGATGAGAATTAAAATACTCGCTGCAACTCCTGTCTTAATACTATGCAGGAATAATTGAGGCAAGACACGTTGTACTGGATTCAGTTAAACTGATGAATAAAAAATATATATCTGGTCTGCTATATTATATTTATTGCATTCTGTTTCCAAACATGTTGCATGTACATGTAAAGGTATATTTTAATTACAGTTCTGAAGATAGAATTTATTCATAATAGAATAAAAAAAATCTGAAAGTTTATGATAAGCTTTTCATTTACACTATAATCATTTAACACAAACAAAAACATCAACCCAGAGCAATTTACTGTTCCCATTCCAGCTGTTTTGTGCATGATTTTATCTGCATTTCACACTCATATCTGGTATGTTTGTAAATTTCTCGAAAAGAAAGCTTTGTTTCAACTGATGTATGATGCTTCTATAGAATATATTAACACAGATAGTTCAGGAGCTTACAATGAAAATTAAAGATTTTATTACAAATCCAAAAAGATCAGAATCATTTAGCTGAGGATTGAGCTCAGGGTGAGTGAATTTAAAGCAAATAGGTCAAACCTGATGATGGATTGAGCTTCATTCCTCATTGAAGGTGTACTGTCCTTGGGTCTTACAAACACCACCCCCTCAGTCTTCAAATAGAGTATGCGCATACTGTTTCCATTGATCTGCATCCATTCAAGAACCCACCATCCAATGGAGTCTAAAAGTGGGCCGTACAAAATGCCTATTGCCTCTGTCCCAGAAGGGCTCGAGGACCAGAAATGAGAAGGGGGCTGCCAGCTGTGTATAGCTTTTTCCTACTGTCGGGAACAGGGGGAATTAAAGTGGTGACAGCTGGCGTGTGCTTTAATGGATATTCCTGATGCTCCCAGCGTCTCTGTGTGGAAAAACAATAAGTCCAAATCTGCTTTTTTTAGTCTGTTATTTAAAAAAAATGAACAACCTGTTTCCAGGAGAATCAAAGTGAATAAAGGGCGAGTATCAAGTGTGTTGCTGAAGTGCTCATATGGCAGAGAGACGAGGTAAGAGGAAGCTCTTACTGAAAGTGATGATGAGATGGAAACATGAGATAAAGTCACGAGGGCCAAGACCAGCCTCATCAACCTTTATCTCCCATACACACACAGAAAATCTTGATATCAATACACACATAAGCCAGCAATGACCTTAAAATGAAATGCCCAGCAAACCTGCAGCCTTTTCTTGTATATCGCAAAGACAGATAATCAATCAGCTCTATTGTTTACATACACTCCCAGGATCGCTCGCAGCTGCTCCATGGGTATTTTTGGAGAGAAATCTCATTAAGGCACATATAAACTTACAATTCAGCCAAAGCTGTACTGTATGAATAATTAAAATGTGCTGCATAGCAAATTGATTTACAGGCTGCTGGAGATAAATCTGGATTCTTGGTGACAAAAGATTGCGTTACATGATTGCACTGCATCAAAACACCAGTGCAGGAATGGCATTCTCTGGCAGTCATTCATACTAAGACAAAACACCATTCATATCACGTACATGGCTACGGTGAGCTAGAGCGACCACACAGTGCAGAGCTGGATGGATTAGTAATGAATCACTCGGGGAGGTGGACTGTTGCATCTCTCTCTGGTAACTCCCACATTGTCACATAGACATGATACAACACAGAGGAAATCAAGCTTTGAGTGATAAACGAGAGGGAAAATACACAGTTAAAAGCGCCATCGACGGACCAACCTGTTGGCAAACGATCAGTTTCAATGATCTAAGAATAAACACGCACATATATACCTCCTACATCACACATCTCCTACCTTTTTGCAGCACAGGAAAGCGCAGCGGCCATGTAAACCGTAGGGGCTTTGCTGAGGAATTGGTATTCACCTCATGTCATACAGCCACGCAGGGGGAAAGAGCGAGAGACAGCGGAGAGGCGAGGAGGGCTGGAACGGTCACAGTCACTCAACCATAGCCTTAAGTCTGGTTAGGATAAGTCCTCTTACCTGGCTGAGCCCGTCTTCACATCGCCATCTGCTGCTCTGCTCCCTGTGAGCCAAACCACCAGGAGCCAAACACCAAGAACCACGCCAATCCCTTTACTGCTTCTCTGTCTGGGAGATGGAGGAGTGTGTTTGCATGTAAGAAGGAGACAGACCGACAGTGAGAGACACAGAGAGTAAGAGGACGCGCGTGAGCCTAGGAAAACAAGAATGTGCAAATGTAAGGGGTGTGTGTGTGTTTGTGTGTCCGTGAGAGAAAGAGAGACAGAGGTATGAAAGTCTGATGGGTTTTCTTTTGTTTGTATCCTGAAGGAGAGAGAGAGAGATCCACAGGCGGCAGCTTCGTCTAGGTATATGCAGCAAGAGGCTGTACGGTAGCCTTGGCAACAGAGCCAGAATAAGGGAGAGCGAGGGAGGGAGGGAGCTAAGGAGAGAGCTAGAGCAAAAGAGAGAGAGAGTGTTTATTAATCTTATTGTGGGGACATAAATCTGTTAATACAGTTATATCAGGGGGGCTCACCTCTAAAGGAAGGTTTCAACAAGGTAAACCATTAAGTTTTAGTGGTGAAGGATAAGCCTGGAGATATTATATATATTTTAATTATGGTTGGCAAAGTCCACTAAAAATGCCAAAACCTGAAGCAAATGCATGCTGCCAACAGACTCTAGGCTTTGATTATAGCTCAAAAAGGTAAAAATAAATAAATAAATAAATAAATAAAATACAGGCATTGTTGAGCCACATTGCTTCTTCAGTGTTACAATGAAAAGGGTCACTGGATCTGTCATTTAGCCACCTTACTTCAAAAAAACAGTTGATAAGCTGCAGCTGAAAATACATCAAATTTATCTAACACCAGAAACATACCAACAAACACGAGCTGTTTCTTTGGGAAAATACATTTGTGACCAATTTGTCTTTTGCATCGTCTTTGCTACTGAAGGGTGATTGGGGTTTATTGCAACAGACAGGCTGGAGGACATCATGAAGCTCGAGGAGATAAATGCTTTGCTGAATCTGTTTATAATAATGACAATAATGGAAAAAAAACTCTCCAGGAAACAATAAAAGAAGAAATCAACATCTTCTTAAGTGACAAAAGACGTGTGTCTCCGTGTGTGTAGTGGGGGAAGTCGGCTCATAACACATCACTGAGCAGTGAACACCCCCCACTGTCACCTCCTCTGCTTCCAAGCTGTACGCTCTGCCACCCACCATCTCTCACTCATCTCAGTCACCACCCCCCAACCACCCCCCCACCCCATCATCATCATCATCATCACCATCATCACCATCGCCCAGGTCTATTCTCCTTTTCCGGTCTCTATCATTCTCTGTCTTCTTAAACCTCTTGTCATTTCCCATCCCTCCTTCTTCAATGTGATGCACTCTCTCTCTTTCACACACACACACATACACACACACACATACACACACCCTCCTTCCTGTCTTGCCATATGGTAGCCTTTCCCTGTCATGAGCTCTCTGAACTCACCAGCAGCACAAACAGCCTCTATATGACCAACACAAATCACGGGGAACACAAACATAGACTGCATACAATGTTTAT